CCCTGGCCATTCGCACCCGCCCCTAGCTGGCCCCCTGGCCGTCGCGCCACTCCTAGCCGGCGCCCCGGCCGTTCGCACCCACTCCTCACCGGCCCCTCGCGCCCGTCCCTCGTCGGCCCCGCCCCCTCTTCTAGCCGGCCCCGGGTTCGCTATGCCGCCGGCTCGTCTCTGCCTCTGCACCGCCCGGAGCCGCTCTCCACCACTTGGCACCGCACTCCACCGCCCGGCATCGCATTGCACCGCGCTGCACCGCACTGCACCACCCTGCACCGCCCTGCACCGCACTGCACCGCTCAGTACCGCAATGCACCGCACTACACCGCTTTGCATCGTTCCTGATGGCGGAGGTACTTCGCTTCGACGCTGAGGGCCGGCCGCTGAGTTTGACGGTACGCTCCCCTGTCCTGACCCCCCTCCTTCGCTGTCCAGCGCTGTTCCACCCCGCGTGCAGCCTCTGTAGGTCGCCTGATCCTGCCGATGCTTTTCCCTGACCTTGCATCTTTCCCCACTGTCGCTGACCTTGCCGCCCACCTGCGCACGATAGACGCGACCTGGCGCTCTGCCTGCACTGAGACCCAGCTTAGAGCTCATCAGCCGCCCCTCTACTCTGCCCTTTACCTGCTAGCCACCCGCCTCCCTGACCGCCTTGCCACTGCCCACGACCGCTTCCTTAGCATCCACCCCAGTGACCTCACCCTCACCGACTTTGTCGACACCCTGTCTGCCATAGAGACCCGCCACCGCTCTATCGCCCAGACTAGTGGTACTGTGCCGGTCCCCATCTTTCAGGGTTGTGCCCCTGCCCAGTGCACCTTCTCCGACGGTTCTGCTGCTGTGGCTGAGACTGTTGCTGCAGCGCTGCTCCGTCCGGGGAAGGGTCGCCGCCTCAAGGCTGGGCGCGGTGGAGGGGGTGGGGGTGCAGGTGGAGGTGGTAGTGGAGTCGGGGCGCCTGGTGGTGGCGTAGACGAGGGGACTGTCCCTGGTGCCGCCGAGCAGCCATCCCAGCAGCCGAAGCCGTCGCAGCCAGACCAGCACCACCCGCAGCCGCAGACCCACCTCCAGCCGCAGCAATCGCAGACCCAGCTCCAGCCGCAGCAGTCGCAGCAGTCGCAGCAGCCGCAACAGCAGAGGCGGGCGAGTGGTCTCCCGCCCAAGTGGCCTGGCGCTGGTGGCGGCGGTGGACGTGGTAGTGGACGTGCGCGTGGTGTGCTCCCGGGTGGCAGTTTGGGTGACGGGCGCTGCCAGTACCAGCTCCTGACCGGTCCTCGCCGCAGCTCCGTTTGCGGCCGGTCACTCCCCTGCTCGTTGCTTCCGTCGCCTTGACGACCTGTTTCGTCTTCGCTTCGGCCCGTCACCCGACCTCCCCGACTGGTTCAGCTTGCTTCGTCGTAGTATTCCGATTTTTTATATGGACATGGATGAACTTAGCTCTGCCCTGTATGTGTTGTATGCTGATGACTCTATTGTGACTGCTTCTTACTACCCCGTGTTGCCTAGTAAAGGTGTGCCTAGTCGTGCCCCCCCTGCTGCGTCAGGCATAGGACCTCCTGCCTTGTTTAGCCTAGGTTCCTCCGTCGCTGCTTTGACCCCGGCCGCCACTGCTGCGCTCACCTTCACCCTGGACTCTGGCGCTGTTTCTTTCGCGACTCCACAAAGCTGTCCCCGCTTGCTGCTCCTGCTGCGGTTTCCCTTGCTGACCCCTCCTCTGGTCCGGTAGTCGCTCGTAGTTCTACCACCCTTCCCTGCTCGGCGGCTCCTTCGGGCTCGCTCACAGGCTTGCACGTCCCCTCGTTTTCCAGGAACCTAGTTAGTGTCGGCTGCCTCCAGGACCTTGGCGTCACCACTACGTTCCCTGGTCACGAGCGGCTTGCTGACTGTACTGAGGCCGCCACTGGTGCTCCCCTCACTACGTTCCCCCGGGACCCGGTGTCTGGCCTGTTCACACTGGACACCGCGCCCCCCCTGGTTCGGACGCCTCCCCAGGTAGCTGTGTCGTCTCAGGTTGCAGCGGCCTGCTCGTGTCGGTCGCTTACTCACCCGACCCTCCTGTGGCACCACCATCTAGGTCACCCTGTGCTCCCGCGTCTCCGTCACATGTCACAGCACGGTCTTGTCCTAGGTCTCCCAGGGTCGTTCCCCGTGTTGCCCCCCTCCACAGTGCCACCGTGCACGCCCTGCGTTGAGGGTCAGCTCCGCTGTGACCCTCACTCCCCCTCTTTCCCCCCCACCACCGCACCGCTATAGACCTTGCACATGGACGTCTGGGGCCCCGCCCCCGTCCATGGACCGCGTCGCGAGCACTACTTCCTCGTGCTTTTCGACGACTACATGCGCTACACCACAGTTTTTCCCTTGGAGCGGAAGGCCGACGTGCCTGACGTTCTTATCCCCTGGCTGGTCTCTGCGCGTGTCCACCGCGGTCTCCCTGTCCTGCGTCTTCACTTTGACCGTAGGGGCGAGTTTGCCTCCGGTGTCCTTGGTCGCTTCTGTCGTGCGGAGGGCATCACCCAAACGTTCACCCTACCGGACTCGCCGCAGCAGAATGGGGTCGCTGAGCGATGCATCGGTTTGGTCATGGAGGTGGCTGGTACCTCCATGATCCACGCCGGTGCACCCCATTTTCTGTGGCCGTTCGCGGTTCGCTACGCTGCTCACCAGCTTAACCTGTGGCCGCACTCTCAGCGGCCGCAGGTTTCGCCGACCCTTCTTTGGACCGGGTCTCCTGGTGACGCGTCTGCGTTCCACGTCTGGGGATGCCTTGCTCACGTTCGTGCCTCTGGCACGGACAAGCTTATTGCCCGCATTGTCCCCTGTGTCCTCCTTGGTTTCCCCCTTGACTCGTCCGACTGGCACTTCTACCACCCGCCGTCCCACCATTTCTTTCACTCCCGCGACGTTACCTTTGACGAGTCCGTTTCCTTCTACCACCGCTTTCCACACCGTGGTCCCCCGGTTACCCCCCCCCCTGTTCCTGGTTTCCTCGTTCCTGGTAGCCCCAGCCCCGCCCCCCCCGCGTCCTGCCCCGTCCGGTTTGTCTCACGTCACTCCCCTCCCGTCGGTTGTCCCGGTAGAGGAGTCTGCTGACTCTGGTGGTCCTGCGGCCCAGTCCTTGCCCCCTGCCTCCCCCCCGGTGTCTCCTCCTCTGCCGCCGCAGCAGCAGTCGTCGCCGCTGCCGCCGTCGTCGTCGCCGCCGCCCGTGCCGTCACTACCGCAGCAACTGCTCGTCGCCTCTGGTGGTGCTGGAGTTGGGAGCGGTACCGGTGCTGGCGGGGTTTCTGGCTCTAGGGGTGTTCCCTCTGGGGGTGCAGGAGTGGAGTGTTCCGGCGGTAGCCGTGGAGTTGCTGGCGGTCCTGGAGTCGGTGTTGTGCCGTCGCAGCCGCAATCCCTGCCAGTGTCAGCCCTTCGCCTGCTCGGCCTTCCGTCCCCTCCTCTTCCGGTCTACGGCCCTGTGTTCCCTCCCCCGGACTCGTCCCCGGCTCGTCTCCCTCCTCGTTCCCCTCTTGTGTCTCCTCCTCTGTCTCCTGACCCGACACCTCCGTCACACGTCTGGTCTCGCCGTCCCTCCCGTGCTCGCCCTGTCTCCCCTGTCTCGCGCTCCCACCCTATGTTGCTTCGTTCCCACGTGCCTCGTCCTCCCCTCCTGCCGTCGCCTCCTCCGTCCTCCCTTGTCGTTGCGTCCTCCCCTCTATTTGACTTCCTTCGTGCCGCTCATCCTCTTGTTCCTCGTGTCCTTGCCTCTCTCGTTACCGACCCGTCTGTTCCGGTTTCGCGCCTTGACGCTCTTGTCGCTGTGGTCGCTGACTTCGCCTCTACCCGCCGCCTTGACTACGGCACCACTTTGGTCTCTAACCCTGCCTGTCCTCCGTCTGTCGGGGGTGCTCCTGCCCTTGGCAGTGACGTCTTGGAGGACCGCCAATACGAGCTTGCTCTCCTGTCCGAGGCTGCTCCCCATCTCTGTTCCATGCTCCTAGTCCCTGAGGGTGACCCAGACACTTTGGACATCCCGACCCCTCGCACTTACGCTGAGGCGGTCTCGGGACCTTGGGCCTCCCAGTGGATAGCTGCCATGGAGCAGGAGATGGCATCTTGGAGATCCACCGGCACCTACGTCGACGCAGTTCCCCCACCCGGGGTGAACGTAGTCGATGGCCGCTGGCTCTTCAAGGTGAAGCGCCCCCCTGGAGAGCCGCCTGTGTTCAAGGCGCGCTACGCGGCCAGAGGTTTCACTCAGCGTGAGGGGGTGGACTTCTTTCAGACCTTCGCTCTGACCCCGAAGATGACTACTCTTCGGGTGCTGCTACACGTAGCAGCTCAGCGTGACTACGAGCTTCACTCCCTCGACTTCTCCACTGCCTTTCTTTAGGGCAGTCTATACGAGCAGGTCTACCTACGCCGCCCTCAGGGCTTTACTGGTACCTTCCCTCCTAGGACCCAGTGGCTCCTTCGGCGCCCCGTCTACGGTCTGCGACAGGCTCCCTGTGAGTGGCATGACACGCTGCGTGCTACCCTTGCTGACCTGCAGTTCTTTCCGTCCTCTGCAGACCCCTCGCTCTTCGTTCGTGCTGGCCAGACTCCGTTCTACATCCTTGTTTACGTAGATGACCTGGTCTTTTGTTATACATTGACATGTGAGGGCATGTCCAGCGCATACGTTTACGATACATGATCACGGTTCAGTAGGATACGTCGTGGTTAGGGGGTGTATCAAGTAGCTGAATAGTACGACATCAGGCTTGTGACGTCGAGTCACCGTCTCCAAACGCAGAGAAAGCTTCTTTGGGATGTCGGGTGACGTCGTTTTCCTTGCACTTGATACACCTCCTTAGGAGCTATTTTTGCGTTTCACTGTAGTTTTGTATCGAGCACCCCATTGAACCCTGTAAATTGGATTGAAAACGCTCCCTGGCTGTCAGATCAACCACGCGCAAGGCAGCGGGCAGGTGTGGTAGGTTACAGTATGGTACAAAGTGGTAAAGCCTCAAATTTCCAGATCCTCTGCCGATGACGAATGGTGGTGATCCATACCACACTGCTCGTCCTCCCAAGTCCTGTGACGAGAGATTCTCATCTTGAGCATGCGAGGCGAGGCTCTCGTCATGCGCATGTGAGGAGCGACTCTCATCGTGGCAGTTAGTCTAGCGCCCCGTACAGTATCTGCCGCGTTGCAAGATCCAAGCTCTGCCTCTCGCGCGAAGCTGTGGCCCGCCACCCTGGGGTTGGACGTGCGAGAAGACGTTGCGTGCGACAGGCAAGTATCGCAGCGAGTGGATCTCGACCAGAGCTGCTGCGCCGCGGCAACAGCCTAAACCGCTTCTGAGGGTCCCCTCCCCACGCCTCGCCGCTCCCCGCCTCGCCGCCCCACGCGGCGCCGGTTCCGCCAGGTGCGTCTCTCCCTCAGCCAGGCGCGTCTCTCCCTCCGCCAGGCGCGTCTCTCCCTCCTCCGCTCGCTTCGTCGCCCTCGGCTCCTCCTCGCGCCCTTCCCACTTACCGTCAATCACCTGACCCCATCCCCACCCCTCTCCCTCACGCTCCTTGCCAGCTCGCCCCTCTCGCCCCCCCCCCCCCCCTCTCCCCCCCTCTCTCCCGCCCCTCTCGCCCCTCTCGCCCCTCTCGCCCCTCTCGCTCCTCTCGCCCCTCGCGCGGCCCTCGCTCCCCTGCCTCACTTATCGCTCCCCTCGTCCCATCCCCCTGCCACTAGCTCCGCCAATCATGCGCGAATTCCCGGTTACGTGAGGGGAGGGAGCGACGGTGGGAGAGTGAGTGGGAGGGGAGCGTGGGTGAGAGAGAGAGAGGGGACGAGGGGCGAAGGAGGATTCCCTTTCTTCTGTTCCTGGCTCCTTCGGACCTACTGCCCTCGTTCCGCCTGCTGCCCTCGTGTCACCTGCTGCCCTCGTGTCACCTGCTGCCCTCGTGTCACCTGCTGCCCTCGTGTCACCTGCTGCCCTCGTGTCACCTGCTGCCCTCGCCTCACCTGACTGGTCTAGCCCAACAGGAGGCGTCCTCTGACCTCTGCCCCGTCGCTGCTGCCTTACCTCAGGCTGGTGTTTTGACTTCGCCCCACGTGCCATTGCACCTTCTTGCTCCCACACCTTCTCACCGTTCTCTGTTTCGCTGCCACAGCTCTCCTCCCATTGCTGCATGCACGGGTCAAATCTCGCACCACGTCATAAAAGACTTGCGGACACCGACTCCTCAGCACTGCTGCTCTCTGGAAATGTGTCTAACGACCTCGTCTCTCCCAACTGGTGTTCGCTCAGTCTGTTGTGTCGCTGTGTTCACTATCCATCGCACCGCCTCATATCTCCCCCCCCCTCAACGGTTCAACCCAACTCCCTTCCCCCCCTTTTTCGTTTCTCCCCCCCCCTACCCCGCACACCTCCCCCTGCTTCCCCCCTCTTTTTTTTGCGGCAGCCATGGCTCCGCATAATTTGCGTGATCCCTCAAACCCGGCACCTGATGACATGTCAAACTGCCCACCTGTGCCTGATGACGTGGCAAGTCGCCCTCGTGTGCTGGTCCTGGGCTCTCCCTCTGTCGGCAAAACCACCCTCGCACACCGTATGCCACCCCTGCCCTCGCACACCGTATGCCACCCCTGCCCTCGCACCCCGTATGCCACCCCTGCTCTCGCACACCATATGCCACCCCTGCCCTCGCACACCGTATGCCACCCCTGCCCTCGCACACCGTGTGCCACCCCTGCCCTCGCACACCGTATGCCACCCCTGCCCTCGCACACCGTATGCCATCCCTGCCCTCGCACACCGTATGCCACCCCTGCCCTCGCACACCGTATGCCATCCCTATCCCTCGCACACCGCACGCCATCCATCCCCTTCGTTGCTGCTCGAGTCATGTTCTTGCTGCCATGCATGCCTCAAGCCCTTGCTCTTCCCGTCCCTGCTGCTCACTCCCACCCTTCTCCGTTTTTGGCTTTCTATCCTCCCTTCGTTGCCATCCCCTACTATTGCCTCCTTCTCTCTTCCCTACTATCGCCTCCTTCTCTTCTCCTTCTTTCTGACTCCATCTCTGCCCTTTCTATCAGCTTTACCCTCTATAACTTGCCTCCATCCCATTGTCCCTAACCCGCTCCCCCACCGCCCCCCACCCCCTTTTCCCACAGGCCTTACAGATGCACAACACCCATGCACACTGCAGCAGCAGCAATGCTGGGACGGGCGTTTCAAGCCGTCTCCTCCAACCCCGTTGCCCCTCTCCCCTCCCCCCCACTCTCCTCCCCTTCTTCCCCCCCTTCCAACCCTCTCCACCCCCCTCTGTGCGCCACAGGCCTTACAGCCGCACACCCCCATGCATACAGCAGCAGCAGCAGCAGTAGCACCACAGCAGGCGAATGCTTCAGGTGCGGCCACGGGTGGTGAGGGTGGTGAGGGTGGTGAGGGTGGTGAGGGTTGTGAGGGTGGTGATTGTGGTGAGGAGGGGGCAGGGGTCCTGCGGTGGGTGCACAGGTGTTGGGGTGGGGGCGTTGGTGTTGGTGTGGGGGACATAACGCAAACCACAGCCTGTCCCGCTACGCTTACCCCCTGTGTGCTACACAGAACAGCCCGGCCGGCACAGATCCCAGTTTTAACGCGCCTCAAACTGGTTATGGCCGCAGCTGTGTGGACGTCTTTTCCCACGAGTCCCTTTGCATCAAAGCACAGCACAGCACATGCCCCAATGCTCCAACAATCCAACAGTCCCCCATTTCCCCCCCCCATCAGTTGGGCCATCGACGCCAAGTGCTGCACGGCACGTGTGGCCGTGGGTGCTTGCATTGCAGGCACGTCAAAGCACCCACCAGCAGATTCCATGAACCCCCGTTTTGAGGCGCCTCAAAACTAGATTCCATGAACCCCCTCTGCCTCTTCCCCCCCCACCGCTCCCCCTGCCCTCAGCAGGGACGTCAACACCAAGCCAGCCACTCTCTTGCTCACACGGCACCTGTGGCCGTGTGGACGTGCTCCCCTTGAGGCACCACCTGTTTCCTGTCACCCCCCCCACCTCCCCCCCCCACGTGCTCCCATGAGCCGGGAATTGAGTTGACTCCAAGTGCCACACCGCTCCTGTGGCCATGTGCACGGCATGAGGCAGCCGTTGACCTTCGAGTCAAGGCATTCCAGACACCCCAGCGCCACTGCCCCCCGCCCCCCCCCCCACCCACTCCCCCCCCAAGCTGGGCCATCGACACCAAGAACTACACCGCGCTAGTGGCCGTGTGGCTCACGCCTTGAGACGCCACCATTCCCCCATGGTCCCCCTTCCTCCCCCCCCTCCCCCCCCTCCCCCCCCCCCTTTCCCCCCTCTCAGCTGGTCCATCGACACCAAGTACTACACTGCCCCTGTGGCCGTGTGGACGGCGCGGCTGTCAACCATGCTGCCGTGTGGCACTGCGCCCTGCTCGCACCTTGTTAAAGGCGCTGAGGCGCTGCTGCTTGTCTTCGACCTCTCCAATGTAAGCCGGGCAGTCAGCTCTCTTGCTTTGCACTGCACTCTTGCTGCCGTGCGGCACCGCCCCCTTCTCGCACCTCGTCAAAGGGGCTGAGCCTTGATTCTGGTGTTTACCTCTCCAATGGGAGCCAGGCAGTAGGGCATACGCCATGTGCATCTCTAATGTAAGCTGGGAAGCAGGCTCTTCTCCCCTGCACTCTTGCTGCCGTGTGTGCTCGCACATTGTCAACAGGGCTGAGGCCGTGGTTCGCGCCGTTAACCTCTCCAATGAGAGCTGGCCAGTAGGCGGTCTGTGGCTCCCCCGTGCTCCCCTGCATGCTGCTGTGGGCCATGCCCACCTCCCTTTCTTGCCAGCATCCTCTGCCCCCTGCTTTCTCTTTGAAAACCCCATCCTCTCCCATCCTCTCCCATCCTCTCCCATCCTCTCCCATCCTCTCCCATCCTCTCCCATCCTCTCCCAACCTCTCCCATCCTCCCATCCTCTCCCATCCTCTCCCATCCTCCCATCCTCTCCCATCCTCTTCCATCCTCTCGCATCCTCTCCCATCCTCTCCCATCCTCTCCCATCCTCCCCCATCCTCTCCCATCCTCTCGCATCCTCTCGCATCCTCTCCCATCCTCTCCCATCCTCTCCCATCCTCTCAAATCCTCTCCCGTCCTCCCATCCTCTCCCATCCTCTCCCATCCTCCCATCCTCTCCCATCCTCCCATCCTCCCATCCTCCCCCATCCTCTCCCATCCACTCGCATCCTCTCCCATCCTCTCCCATCCTCTCCCATCCTCTCCCATCCTCTCCCATCCTCTCCCATCCTCTCCCATCCTCTCCCATCCTCTCCCATCCTCTCCCATCCTCTCCCATCCTCTCCCATCCTCTCCCATCCTCCCATCCTCCCATCCTCCCATCCTCTCCCATCCTCTCCCATCCTCTCCCATCCTCCCATCCTCTCCCATCCTCCCATCCTCCCATCCTCCCATCCTCTCCCATCCTCCCATCCTCTCCCATCCTCCCATCTTCCCATCCTCCCATCCTGTCCCATCCTCCCATCCTCCCATCCTCTCCCATCCTCCCATCCTCCCATCCTCTCCCATCCTCCCATCCTTTCCCATCCTCTCCTATCCTCCCCCATCCTCTCCCATCCTCTCCCATCCTCTCCCATCCTCTCATCCTCCCATCCTCTCCCATCCTCCCATCCTCTCCCATCCTCTCCCATCCTCCCATCCTCTCCCATCCTCCCATCCTCTCCCATCCTCTTCCATCCTCTCGCATCCTCTCCCATCCTCTCCCATCCTCTCCCATCCTCCCCCATCCTCTCCCATCCTCTCCCATCCTCTCCCATCCTCCCCATCCTCTCCCATCCTCTCCCATCCTCTCCCATCCTCTCCCATCCTCTCCCATCCTCTCCCATCCTCTCCCATTGTCCAATCCTCTCCCATCCTCCCATCCTCTTCCATCCTCTCCCATCCTCTCCCATCCTCTTCCATCCTCTCCCATCCTCTCCCATCCTCTCGCATCCTCTCCCATCCTCTCGCATCCTCTCCCATCCTCCCATCCTCCCATTCTTCCATCCTCTCCCATCCTCTCCCATCCTCCCATCCTCCCATCCTCTCCAATCCTCCCATCCTCTCCCATCCTCTCCCATTGTCCAATCCTCTCCCATCCTCCCATCCTCTTCCATCCTCTCCCATCCTCTCCCATCCTCCCCCATCCTCTCCCATCCTCTCCCATCCTCTCCCATCCTCTCCCATTGTCCAATCCTCTCCCATCCTCCCATCCTCTTCCATCCTCTCCCCTCTCCCATCCTCTCCCATCCTCTCCCATCCTCTCCCATCCTCTCGCATCCTCTCCCATCCTCTCGCATCCTCTCCCATCCTCCCATCCTCCCATTCTTCCATCCTCTCCCATCCTCTCCCATCCTCCCATCCTCCCATCCTCTCCAATCCTCCCATCCTCTCCCATCCTCTCCCATTGTCCAATCCTCTCCCATCCTCCCATCCTCTTCCATCCTCTCCCATCCTCTCCCATCCTCTCCCATCCTCTCCCATCCTCTCGCATCCTCTCCCATCCTCTCGCATCCTCTCCCATCCTCCCATCCTCCCATTCTTCCATCCTCTCCCATCCTCTCCCATCCTCCCATCCTCCCATCCTCTCCAATCCTCCCATCCTCTCCCATCCTCTCCCATCCTCCCATCCTCTCCCATCCTCCCATCGTCTCCCATCCTCTCCCTTCCTCCCATCCTCTCCCATCCTCTCCGATCCTCCCATCCTCTCCCATCCTTCCATCCTGTCCCATCCTCCCATCCTCCTATCCTCCCATCCTTCCATCCTCTCCCATCCTCCCATCCTCTCCCATCCTCCCATCCTCTCCCATCCTCCCATCCTTTCCCATCCTCTCCCATCCTCCCATCCTCCCATGCTCTCCTCTCCCATCCTCCCATCCTCCCATCCTCCCATCCTCCCATCATCCCATTCTCCCATGCCCCCACCGCCCCTCCCTCCTCTTTCCGCCCCTCCCTTCAGCCCGCATTGTGGGCAGGTCAGCCAGATCTCGCTCTCTCTCCTTTTTTTTTTTTCTTGTCAAACCCCATCCCCCCTTGCCCCCATCCTCCCATCATCCTATGCCCCATCCCCCCTCTCCCCCGCTTCCCCCCACTCCCCCTCTTCCCCCCTCCTTCCACTCGTTTCAGCGCGCATCACTCACTGCGGTGCAGAAGTGGGCAGACCAGGCGGCTCTCTCCCTGTCTCTCCCTTCATTAAACCCCAACCCCCCATCCTCGCCGCTCTCCCCCCTCCCTCCTCTCTTTCCAGCCCGCATCATTCACAGCAGTGCAGAAGTGGGCAGACCAGGCGGAGCTGTCTCGCTTTGAGATCCGCCTGTGCGTGGGCAACAAGGCCGACAGGGTGGGGCAGAGCGATAGAAGGGCGCAGCACCAGGCACAGCACTGTCCGCGCGAGGCAGCCCGGGTGGAGCCAACCGACTTTGATGGCGCCATGCTGCTGGGTGCAGGGGGGGATGGGGGAGAGGGGGATGGACGCGCGGGGAGGGCAGTGGGGGGAGAGGGGGAAAGGGATTCTGGCACGGTGGGGGCTGGTGGGAGGGGTGGTGGGGATGAGGGGGAGGTGGGGAGGGGCGAGTACCAGGCATGGTGTGCGGACAACGGTATAGAGTATGTGGAGGCGTGTGCTGCAGACGAGACGATTGATGAAGGTGAGAGTGCTTGGGAGAGGAGTCATGCGTTTGTTTTCTGAGGCGCGTCAATGGGAGTGCCAGGCAGGCGTGGTGTGTGCGGGCGACGGCATGGAGTATGTGGAGGCGTGTGCGGGCGACGGCATGGAGTATGTGGAGGCGTGTGCGGGCGATGAAACGGTAGATGAAGGTGAGAGTGGGTGGATTGCGTCAACTCCTGTTGCGGAGGATGTGGCCTCCCTGTAAGTGTCACCCCTCTCACACGCATCCACACGCATCCACACGCATCCACACGCATGTGCCCGTCTTGTCAATGGCCGTAGGCAGCTGTCCCATGCCACACCATCTCATGCCCCTCGGGCCATCCCATCCCATTTCCGTTATCCCCCTGTCATGCCACCCGTTGCCTTGTCATGTATGCCATACCACCCGTTGCCATGCCATGCCATGCCATGCCACCCCATGCCATGTCATTGCATGCCATTCCACCCCATGCCATGACACCCGATGCCATGCCATGCCACCCCATACCATGTCATTGCATGCCATTCCACCCCATGCCATGCCATGCCACCCCATGCCATGCCATGCCACCCGATGCCATGCCATGCCATGCCATGCCATGCCATGCCATGCCATGCACCATGCGCCATGCAGCCATGGGCAGGGATGCGGAGGACATGCAGGGGTTGGCTCGCATCCGCACGGCCCTGGGAGCGCACATGTGGCAGGGCCTCAGTCTGAAGCAGCAGGGGAGGCAGCGGCGAACGAATGCTCACTTGCAGCTATTGGGACTCGTGGGCAAGGAGGCATTGTGCTCTCATCAAGGTTCGTTCATTCGCTATCACCATGGGTTTGCACATGTGGCCGGTCCTCTTGTTGAAGGCGCAGGGAGGGCAGAGGCGCATACAGACGGCAGAGGTGTGCTCCCCTCTTTCTCTCTCCCATTCCCCACGCCCCCACCCATCCGCCCCCCTCCCCCCCCCCCCCTCTCTCTTGTATGCACCTAGATTATGGCTGTCACAAACCCGCCTCGCTCCTACACATCCCAATCCTCCGTGCTTCTCTCCGCACCTGCTTTCGTCCTTACGTCTCACATCATACACCTACATTTCTAAAAAAACCAAGGCACAAAACTTGTTTTCCTCCAACATCCATCATATGCACTGACCTCCTCATTCGCCCTCCTCATTCACCCTCCTCATTCGCCCTCCTCATGCGCCCTCCTAACCAGACGAGCCCACTTCACCGCACTCCTCGTCGGCATCTGACGGCGGCACAGACAGCGACTCTGATGTGGACGCTGCCTCGGGAGCGGACCCCTTTGACCCCGCGCACTTCCCCTACCACCGCTTGGATGAGGCCCCTGACCCCGCCCTGCACCACACGCCTGACCCCGCCCTGCACCACACGCCTGACCCCGCCCTGCACCACACGCCTGACCCCGCCCTGCACCACACGCCTGACCCCGCCCTGCACCACACGCCTGACTCGCACCCCGCACTTGCATCTGATCCTGACACTTCCGCTGTCGGCGATGGTTCTGTGTCTGCTGCTTGCGAGAGTGGCAGTGGTGCTGCTGCTTCTGCTGCCGCTGATGCCGGTGGTAGTGCTTCTGCTGCCTGTGATGGTGGTGCTGCTGCTGCTGCTGGTTGTGGGAACGAGGAGGGGGATGAAGTCTTTGGGCCATTTGTGCATGGCTCGACTACTGCAACTGCTGCCACTGGCTCCACTGCTGCCCCTGCCCCTGCCACTGCCCTTGCCCCTGGCTCTGCCCCTGCCGACGCTGGTTCAGGCAAGAGAGTGAGTGAAAACAGCAGCTGCGCTCCCACGGCCCACTCGCGTGATGATGGCTCTGCGCCCGATGCTGCTCATGGTGAAAAGGCCACGAGCGGAGCTGATTCTGCTGCGCACGGCCAAGGCGCCACTCGAGTTGACCATGCTGATGCCGAAGAAGGCAGGAGTGGAGGTATTGACCATGCTGATGATGATGTACGCGGCAATGCACCAGTCGGCCATACTGATGACGCGAGGGCGGAGCTGGGTGAGGGGCGGGCGGACATGGACGAGATGGAGCGGCTGTTCCTGGAGGTGGCGTCGGTGCGCAGCAGCCTGCAGCACGCCCCTGACACTGTCAGGAGGGATACCGCTGCCCGGCTGGCCATGCGCATAGCAAGCATGCTGGGGGATGGTGATGGCAGTGATGGTGATGATGATGCGGATGATGGGTGGGGAGGGAACACTGGTGCCTAAACTTGAGATGCATCGGTGTGCAGCAGCCTGCAGCACGCCCCCTGATGAGATACCACTGCCTGGCTGGCCATGTGGATCGCGAGCACGTTGGGGGATGGGGATGGCAGCAATGGTGGAGGAGTTGGGAAGGGATGAGGACTTGGGAAGGGATGAGGACTTGGGAAGGGATGAAGGTGCTGGAGAAGGGATGAAGGTGCTGGAGACTGTACCAAGCACTACCCTGATGCCCGGGTTGCCTGGTGGGTGCTGAATGCCATGTTGAGCACTGTCAGTCAGGTGTGGAGATTGTACCAAACACTCACTATGATCTGAGTGGCTGAGAACCTGCCACCTGGAGTGGCACCTGAGGCGGGCAGTGATTTGGGGGGTGCTTCTGACTTATCCCGTTCGTGTCATATTGCAAGCAGCTCCACGAACCATCTGATAAAGCACAGCACCCCAGAAAACAGCTTATACACCTAGCATGCTGTAATTTCACAACTAGTTAATTGAGAAAGCTCGCTACTTGTAGTGCAAATGGCATCGTTCTCATTCCACGGGCATCAAGTACAAAGAGTTCCCAATATATTCATCTATTACCATAACCTTTCTAAACTGTCTACACTGGGATATGTCTATGCCGGGGATGATCCACCGAAGCGGTGCATGTTGAAGAGGGTAGACGAAGCGGGTTGGGTGGGCGGGAATTGAACTTGAGCTGGGAAAAATGAAAAACGTGGGTGGAGGAAGAATGACCTCCAACCCCATTATATGGTTGGAGAAGGGCGAATAGCGCGCTTCGACGATGCCTTAGATTGCGTTACAAGCAGCTTCGCATTCACAATACACAATTTTGAAAGTGTGAGCACTTAAAAATTTTATATTTCACAGGGGGTGCCGCCGTCAATGCCAACTTATACATTTGCTGTGCATGTATAGGTATACGTCAGACAGGTTCGTGCTCTTAGAGAGTACATCCCGAACCCTTATATCAACCTGTATTCTCTTGCTAGAGTCCACTTCGTTACTCTGACATGGTATCACGCTAGGTAGGTCCCACCCACCCGCGCTTCCGCCCTCGCCTACCGTAGAGCCCCTCGCCCCTTAGCGCGTCCCGCCTCCTAGAGCGCCCTGCTCTTAGTGCGCGCCTGCCCTAGCCCGCCGCGCCGCGCTCGCCCTAGCTCGGCGTGCTGGCCCTAGCCCACCGCGCTAGCCCTTTGCTCGCCGCTCTGCCCCCCAGCTCTCTACGCCGTGCAGGCCCCTAGCTCTCCGCGCCGCGCTGGCCCCTCGTCCACCACGCTGCGCTGGCCCTAGCCCGCCGCGCTGGCCCTAGCTCGCCGCGAAGGCCCCTGCCGGTTGCGTCGGCCCTAGCTCGCCGCCGACCCAGTGCTGATCTTTGGTTTTTTCGCTACTCTGATTTTCACGAGTGAAATCTGTGCCACTCTGATTTTCAAGGTTACCTGGAGCACTAACTCTGGTTTTTCAGGGTTTTTCTCTGTTTCCAAAATAATAACTCTGCTCATAAGGGATCATCCCTAGAGCCACTTTAATTAACAAAAGTGCACAGGTCACACCCACTTTTGTACAAGCAGCCACCACAGTCACATCACTCGTGGAAATGCCTTTCAACGGGCGTCGGATGACCAAACCAAAGGAACTTGTATTACGCTCTATGGGCGTCATGTCAAACATGTGTATCTCCTATGTTTGCATAGACTGTATAGGGCCATCTCTTAGAGGGTACAACACTTAGGTATATTCACCTGTACTCTCACTCTACATGATCATTCAGTTTTCCCTTTGAGACGTCATACATACATTTCTGGTTCTTGAAAATCCAGAACTAGTACCCAAATTCGCGAAACGTTTGCCCTAAAGGACATTTACGAAGCCTGATCGAAATGTGCTGCGAACTATGGATCCAGCCCAGGTTCCGGTTTTAGCCGAAAACCGGAACCAAGCACCACGCCCTTTGGCGGGGCAATGATTGCCAGGTTCCGGGTCGCATCCAGGCGGCAAATGATGTGTACAGTCCCAGGCGGGCGGTGCACGTGATACTGGGCAGGAATCCGAGTCAGGGACCGAGGGTCCTTGCTAGGCCCGTCTGTTTCTCTTCCGCGACAAAATCTAGGTTTCACTTGCATCACATGTGGTTCTCCTAGTGCTTGCACGCACACCAAGGCACCTGAGGTGATGTGTCTCGTCATCACCTAGGGTTCAGCAAAGCGCGCCGAAAGTAGTGTGCCAGGCTGTGGAGGATGTCAAACATATATTGTATGTTTCTGTAGACTATATAGGGTTGTGCCTTAGGGAGTACAACCCATTAGGTTATATTCCCTTGTATGCCTTGTTCTAGTGATTCTTTCACTTGAACATGGTATCATGAGTAGGTAGGTCCCTCCCCCCCCCCCCCCCCTCCCCCCCTCTAGCGCTTCTTCCCTAGGTCCTGGCCGCCTCGTTGCCTCGCGGCCCCGTCCCCTAGCGGCTCCGCGGCCCCGTCACCTAGTGGCCCTGCGGCCCCGTCACCTAGCAGCCCCGCGGCCCCGTCCCCTAGCGGCCCCGCGGCCTCATCACCTAGCGGCCCCGTCCCCTAGCGGCCCCGCGGCCCCGTCCCTAGCGGCCCCGCGGCCCCGTCACCTCGCGGCCCTGCGGCCCCGTCAACTAGCGGCCCCGCGGCCCCGTCCCCTAGCGGCCCCACGGCCCCGTCACCTCACGCCCCCATCACCTAGCGGCCCCGCGGCCCCATCCCCTAGCGGCCCCGCGGCCCCGTCCCCTAGCGGCCCCGCGGCCCCGTCACCTAGCGGCCCCGCGGCCACGTCCCCTAGCGGCCCCGCAGCCCCGTCCCTAGCGGCCCCGCGGCCCCGTCCCCTAGCGGCCCCGCGGACCCGTCACCTCACGGCCCCGAGGCCCCCTCCCCTAGCGGCCCCGCAGCCCCGTCACCTCGCGGCCCAGCGGCCCCGTCACCTAGCGGCCCCGCGGCCCTCTCACCTAGCCGGCCTCGTTGCCCAGCCAGCCCCGTCTCCCTGCCGACCCCGCCTCTTTGCCGGCCCCGTCGCCTTGCCGCCCGCGGACCCGTCATCTAGATGCCTCGCTGCCGTCCTCGGCTCCTCTGCACCGCGCTGCACCGCCCGGCACCGCTCTCCATCGCACTGCACCGCACGGCACCGCACTGCACCGATCTGCACCGCACTGCACCGCCCTGCACCGCACTCCACTGCACCCTACCGTACTGCACCTCCCTCCACCGCACAGTATTGCTCTGCACCGCACATCACCGCTTTCTACCGCGCTCTCCTGCCCAGTACTGTCTTTCTCCTGCTGCTGCAACCATGATGGCGGACTCGGACCTGGGTTTTGATGCTGAGGGGCAGCCGATTGAGTTCGACTTGTGGCTCGTCGACCTCCACCGACACCTAACTGGTCAGCGACAAGACGGTCACTCCCTGGCCGTCCACATCGGCGGTACACTCCCCTGCCCGAACCCCCATGCTGCCCTCCCCGCTAACCCCACCTCTGCTGACCGTGAGTCCGCTGCAGCTGCTGTCCTTGCAGCTGCTGTCTGGTTGTCGCGTGACGCCGTCGCACAGCTTGCGATTAGTCATGCCCTTCCCCTGTCCGAGCGCCCCCACTTTAGGTCCGTCAGGACTACGCAGGAGTTCCTAGAGGCTGTTGTTGCGCGTTATTCTACCCCGCCCTCTGCCTCTATAGGTCGCCTGATCCTGCCCATGCTCTTTCCTGACCTTGCGTCTTTCCCCACTGTCGCTGACCTAGCCGACCACCTGCGCACGCTAGACATGACCTGGCGCGCTGCCTGCACCGAGGCTCAGCTTCGTGTGTTTCAGCTCCCCATCTGCTCTACCCTCTACCTGCTTGCCACCCGCCTCCTTGACCGTCTTGCCACCGCCCACGATCACTTCCTTAGTCTCCACCCCGCTGACCTCACCCTCACTGACTTTGTCGACACCCTGTCTGCCATAGAGACTCGTCAGCACTCTATCGCCCAGTCTAGCGGTACCGTGCCAGTCTCTAACTTTTAGGGCTGTGCCCCTGGTCAGTGCTCTTACTCCGACGGTTCTGCTGCCTTTGCTGAGACAGCTCCGGCTGTGGAGACAGCCGCCGCAGTGCAGTTTCGTCCGGGTAAGGGTCCCAAGGCTGGGCGCGGCGGAGGTAGCAGATGAGGGAGTGGTGCCGGTGGTGGAGGTGGCTCGCCCGCTGGTAGTACTAACGAGGGGGCTGGGGCTGGTGCCCCGGAGCAGCCACCCCAGCAGCAGCAGCAGCAACAGCAGGCTCCGCAGCAGCAGCAGCAGCCGCAGCGGAGGGTCGGCCGTCTCCCGCCCGGGTGGCCTGGAGCTGGAGGTGACGGTGGTTGCAGTGTTCGCTCGCGCGGCATGTTGTCGGGTGGTACTCCGAGCGACGGGCGCTGCCAGTACCAGCTCCAGACCGGTCCTCGCCGCAGCCTCGTGTGCGGTAAGATCGGTCATACCGCCGCTCGTTGCTTTCGTCGCTTAGACGACCTGTTTCGTCTCCGCTTCGGCCCGTCGCCTGACCTCTCCGACTGGCACAGTCTTCTCCGTCGTCGTGTTCAGATCTTTGATATGGACGTGGATGGGATTAGCCGTTCTTTGTATGCGCTGTATGTTGATGACTCTAGTGTGACTGGTTCCTATTTTCTGTGTTGCCTAGCGTAGGTGTGCCCAGTGTGCCTAGTTCAGGCTCCCCTGCTGCGTCAGGCGTAGGATCTCCTGCCTTGTTTAGCCTAGGGTCCTCCCTTGCTCCTCCGACCTCTGTCGCCGCTGCTGCGCTCTCCTTCACCCTGAACTACGGCGCCTCCCGGTGTTTCTTTCGCGACTCCACGACGCTTATGCCGCTTGCCGCTCCTGCTGAATTCGCACTTGCAGACCCTTCCTCCGGTCTTGTACTTGCCCATAGCTCCACCACTCTCCCCTGTCCGACGGTTCCCTCAGGCTCCCTTACAGGCCTGCACATCCCCTCATTCTCTAGGAACCTTGTTGGTGTCGGCTGCCTCCAGGACCTTGGTGTCACCACTACGTTCCTTGGGCACGAGCGGTACGCTGTCTGTACTGAGGCCGCCACTGGTGCCCCCCTCACCACGTTCCCCCGAGACCCGGTGTCTGGCCTGTTCACGCTGGACACCGCTTCCCCCCCGGTTGGGACGCCTCCCCAGGTACCTGCGTCTTTCCAGGTTGCTGCGGCGTGCTCGTGTCGGTCGCTTACTCACCCGTCACTTCTGTGGCACCACCGTCTAGGTCACCCCGCCCTCACCCGTCTCCGTCACATGTCCCAGCACCGTCTTGTCCTAGGCCTCCCTGAGTCGTTCCCTGCGCTCCCCTCCTCACCCGCGCCTCCGTGCACGCCTTGTGTCGAGGGCCGGCTCCGCTGTGCCCCTCACTCCTCCTCGTTCCCCCCTACCTGCACCGCTGCAGACCCTGCGCATGGACGTCTGGGGCCCCGCCCCTGTTCATGGGCCGCGTCGCGAGCACTACTTCCTTGTGCTTGTCGACGACTACACCCGCTACACCACCATCTTTCCCCTGGAGCG